TTTTTTTTTTTTTTTTAAATTTTGAGACAGAGTCTCTTACTGGCCTGAAGCTTGTCAAGTAACTAGGCTGACAGTTGGCTAGCAAGCTCCAGGACTGTTTGTACCTCCTCAGTATTGGAATATGAGCCCAGATAATTTTACATGGGTTTTGAGGTTGAAATCATGACCTTGCAAGGCCAGCTCTTTACGGACTGAGCCATTTCCTCAGCCTTGGCCTTTTTTTTTTGGCCTGTAAATTGTTTTGTTTTTAATTTCTCATTTTGGTAAGAACGTTGTAGATGAGTGTTGAATTTGCATCATTTTTACTTCCTTTCTTCTCCTCACTCCAACTCCTCCCATGTCCCCCCTCCTCAAATTGATGAACTCTTTCTCTTTAATTACTATAGTTACATATTCTGCATAATTATATTTAAAAGAGTAGGGGGAAAAGGATTGTATCTGGTCCTTTTTAAAAAGTTGAGTAAATATACTCCTTAGGTCACAGTTACAAAGGTATATAATAATCTTATAAGTAAGGCTAGAAAGCTGGCTAACAATTATGAAGTGATTATACAGTTGCACATTTCTGGTCATAAGAAGATTAATATATGAGGCCAAGGGTTAATGGAGAAGGGATGGCCTTGGAGGTGGCCTAGGGAAAGCATCGTGTGCAGACAAGACTACCTAGATTAAAGGAGGATGAGGACAGAGTGGGGCTCTGATTTCTTCTTCTGTTTTAACAACTGAATATCAAATGTAGGCCATTTAGTGTGATGCTGGTGAGGGAGACTCCACTTCTCGTGGAGAAGTTCCCTTTCCTAACAATGATAGCAGCAGTATAGGCAGAGGGCAGCAGGTCTTCCATGAGGGCAGACAGGACTCTCACATGGGCACATTAGTAGGCATTCTGTAGCCAACTGTGCTAACATTGTAAAGATGGGAAAACAGACAAGCATTGTCACAAAGCCATGGAGCAGGGCCTGTGGAAAGAATTGATTAAGTGATGCCTTAACTACATAAGTCACATGGTCAAAGTCAAGAGTCCCTAACTTTGTTTGTAAATGTGTAGTAGATGTCTGCCTCCATGTGACTGTGTGCATTAAAGCCAGACTATGATGTATATAATGATTAAATCTGTAGCCAAGACTGTCAGATTGTTTTCTTTTTCATTAATTTTTTTACTGTGTAAAATAATGGTTTTCCTGATGACACCTTCATAAACATATTTCATTGTACATTATTCATCTTCACCTCCCATTTACCTTCTCTTATTCTCTCTCCTCCTCCTGATCTCTTCCTGTCCTTCCTCCCTCACACTGGTCCCATTCTGCTCCCAATAGTTCTCCATCTACATTTGTGTCCTGTGTATCTCTGTATATATCAGTTTGTATGAAATCTGGATTCCACATAGTAGAGAAGACATGTTAGGCTTGTCTGGCTTTATCATTCAACATGATGATCTCCAGCTTCATGGATTTTTCTCATATGGCATGATTCCATTTTTCTTTGACTAAATAGAATTCCATTGTGTACATGTACCACATTTTCTTTATTCATTCATCTGTTGATAGACTCCTAGGCTGCTTCTGAAGCATTAATCTAATTAATCTTTATCAATAAAAATCAGGAGTAAGATATTAGGGTAAAAACTTGAAATACCAGAGAAGCAGGAAAGTAGCAGCCAGTTGATTCTTACCTCTACCGTTTCTCCTCCATCCCAAAAGGTGTAGTTCTCCTCTCTGTACAGACCTCCAGACCTCTATGGTTAACTAGAGGCTAGCTTCATCCTCTGACTCCAAGCAAGCTTTATTTGTTGGAATACAACATATCACACAGCATTTCCCCCCTTTTTGTCTAAATAAATATTGAAGGTTTTAACTAACAGAAAAACTATATACAATAAATACAATAACTATATACAAATATATACAGGTAATAATTACATTAGCAATGTCTAGTCCAGAGCATTTGAAAAATTCAGAAAAAATACTCCATTATCTATCCTATCTTGGTGAGTCCAAAGTGTTGTACCTAATTCACTTTCTATCCTAACTTGCATTACCAACTCCAAAATAGCTTTTTTATGTCTCTCAACCTTTTACAGTTTATACCATTCGTTAAGGAAACCCATAACTATAACTATCCAGTCTCAGGTCCATCAGATTCCTGAGAAGGATATACTATTACCTGAGTAAACAGCAAGTGCAGAGTAAACAACTTCCAAAACTAAGAAATGACAGAAACATCTGGCTGCCTAGGCAGTCACCCAAGGTTCCTCTGTAACGTTGGGGCATCCATCTTCAGCCTGTGGGCCTAGAATATCTGACAGACTTTTCTGTGAAGCAGGATTTTCGAAGGACTGTCCCACCTTCTCTTGGCAAGGATTGGCAGTCACTTTCTTTTGTGTCCTGCTTGTCCAATTTGGACAGCATACTGTCAGCAGCCAAGGCAAGGGCACTTCCTTGCCCAGTGGCTAACTTTTGCCACAAAGAAATTCCATATGGAGTTTCTTCGATGCCCATCATCTTCTCTGAAGTAAATTGGTGCTGCCAGGAGCAGACATGTCTCGTCAAAAAAAAAAAAAAGAACCTTATGGTATTAAAACAACCTACACGCCATATTCCTTAGGTCTCTGCAGTGTTTGAAGACCACCTATCTATCTAAAGTATATCTGTTTGACCTTCAAAACATAACTTAACTTGACTACAAGTTTGATTGTAATAGGTGACTAACTACTAACCTGCATTTCTTTATTATCCTAAATCGTTTGTTATAATAACTTTCAAGGACTAGAAATTTACATTACATTGTTAAATGAGCTGCATAGGTACAATACCTTGAACAAGAGTAGAAATGTACGTACAGTATGTCCTAATCAAAATAACCTTAAATTATATCAATATACAAAAATATCTTAAACAAGAGTAGAAACATATACAAAAATAACCTCAAATTTGTATCAATATACAAAAATCCATATCAATGTAAAATATTTAAGACTAGTAGTCACTTTTTTGGTTAAAAGTAGATTCAATCTACCATTTTATCCTATTTCTGTATCCCCCCTTTTTCTTTTTAGAACAATATCCCTGAATCTAATCTCCTTTGTTCAGCTTTTTCCCTGACCATAACCAATAACAACTTGTAACCAACCACACTAAACAATGACAGATATCCATAACCCACTGAACACCACCCACTCCACCTCTTGGGAATGTGGACGTCATGTTCTTAAAATTATTTCCTGCTGCCTGAGGGTGATGGCATCTTTAGGGGACCCTGAAAAAAAATTGAGATTATTGTCAAGTCCTGGGAGAGGTAGCTCTATCATTTGTTGTCCAGTCTCAGCATAATGGGAAAGTGCAGGGCTTGTCTCAAGTCCTGGTTAGAATAGTCTGTGAGACTGGATGATCACAGCTAGCCACCTCAAAATTGTCCTGAGTAGTTTGTAGTCCAAAGCCAATCTTTGGGTGGTGTTTGTCAGCTTAGTGGCATTGCCACAATCCAGGTGGAATCGTTGTGGGACCCCATCCTTCTTTTGGAGACTTCAGTGGTTGCTTTTAGGCAAGGTCATGGTTTACTTCAGAAAATGTAAACATTTAAATGTCATATGTAACAGATCTCAAAAGAAGTTAAAGGATCAATATTTATTACATACAACCAGAGTACAAAAACTTAATTCCTAGTATCTGATAGAGACTCAAACTCGAAATTATGTACAGGGAGCTAGATGAAGCCTTTTTCTAGAATTAGTTAGTATTCTATATGACCATTAATATCAAGACAAAAAGTTTAAAATATGTATATATTAATTTTATAAATTTTGAGATAGTTATACCTTAAGAAAAGTTCTAAAGAGTCAAAATAAAACCAAAGGATTGTGATGAGTGGCAATAGAATAGTCCTTTAATTTTGGTTTTTCTTCTGTCCCGTATTGTATGGCTCTTCTGACATGAGACAGAGATTTTGGATTTTCCTTTTTTTTTTTTAAAGATTTATTTATTTATTATGTATACAGTGTTCTGTCTGCACACACCCCTGCAGGCCAGAAGAGGGCACCAGATCCCACTACAGATGGTTGTGAGCCACCATGTGGTTGCTGGGAATTGAATTCAGGACCTTTGGAAGAACAAGCAGAGCTCCTAACCTCTGAGCCATCTCTCCAGCCTGGATTTTCCTTTTAACAGCATGCTTGGGTTTAGAGGAGGAAAGAGTCATGCTCCAACTTCAAAGCCAGCTTTAATTTTTAATTGAACTGGGACTAAAATCAGACCATTTACATTATGTGTCTGTAGAGAACAGCAGAAACAAACATTTGGGAAGATTTATGAAATTTTATCCTGTTGGAAATGTGATATACCAATAGTCCAATTTACTCTTTTTCTTAGGACATTTTCTCAGGATTATTTGTCCCTTTTCTTCACATGTCTCATTTGTCCAGTGATCCTCAGGTTCCTTAACTGAATGCCTTCATTCTCCTAGAAAGACAAAAACAAAACCCTGCCCCAACCCTAACTTTGGGGAGTTTCCCTTTTGGCAAGTTATGTCTGATCAAATGAAAAACATTTGTTAGTCTTGTAAGTTAGTTTAGATTGAATGGTCACACTGGTTGATGAACTATCACCTCTTCTAATCAAGAGGTCTCTCTTGTTAGAATCTAATCTTTATCAATTTTGATGGTATCCATAGCTTTTCTTTTCCTGTACAATGTCATTTATTTGTATTTTTAACTTTGGTCTTTGATCATTTATAAAAGTTTGCCAAAATATTTGCTTTATGGTTTCTCCTGAATTTTTTGTTTTATCGTCTAAATCCAGAACAGCTTTTTTTTTTTTTTTTTTTTTTTTTTACAATAGGCATTAGGACCATTAATTGCTCTGGGGAAGAGTTTCCCCTATGGTGACAGGTTCTGAACCAAATTGGACATGGGGGCCTATAAGAGCCCCCACCCCAAGGCATTTCCCAATGGCAAAAGGTTACTTTGTCCCTTGTTGATCTGCATTCATTGGTTCAATGTCTGCCTTTGCTGGACCTTCTGCATACTCCAGAAGGCAAGGGTCTTCAGTTTGGATTAGAAGAAACATTGTTTCTAGGAACACCTTGTCTACAATCCCTTTTTAGGTGACCTTGTTTGCCACAATTAAGATACTTGACATTTTGATTTTTCTTCAAGCCTCTAGAAATCATTTCTCCTATCCAAGCATCATCATGTTTATGAGATTCAATATTGACTGTATCCCAGATCCATTCCTCTATGGGTGCTGATCTTGACTTTAAAGGCCTAATTACCCTTTTGCATTGTGCATTAGCATTTTCAAAAGCCAACAATTCAATTATTTGTTTAGCTTCTGAATTTGATATCATTCTAGTCTTTGTAAAAAAAAAAAAAATCAATGAAGGTTTCTTTTGGGCCCTGTATAACTTTAGTAAAAGACTCAGTTATCTTTCTGAATTCTTCAGTTCTGTCCCAAGCATTCAAAGCTGCTGTACAGCATAGAGCCAGGGTGTGGTCAACATACAGAGACTGTCTTTGTACATCAGCATAATCACCCGCATCAAGAAGTTGCTCTTGGGTGATTTCAGTGCCTATAGCCCTACTCCATTGTTCAATGGTCTTAGCCTCATCTTTCCACCAGGTCCTCCACTGTTATTGAGGACCAGGTTCCAATACTGCTGTAACCAAGTCTCTCCAGTCTTATGGGACAGTTCTGTTACTAGTTGATCCATTTAGATTGAATTTAATATCTGCTTCACAAAAGGTGAATGCATACCATATGAGACTATTGCTTCCTTGAATATCCTCAAGTCTAACATTTCCACAGTAATCCAGCCAGCTCTTACATAGCCTTGGGGGTATCTGTTATTTGGCAGTTGTTCCTGTAAGGTTACTGGATAAATTAAGGTTGGTTGTTTGAAAACACTGGGCTGTTCCTCTCTAATTTTATAATGTAATGATGAGGTTGGTTCTTCTTTAAATTCCTCTGTCTGGGTCTGAATATCTCTATGATCTGTTTTAATAAATTTTTCTAAGGTCTGTATCTTGGCAGTCATATCAACCAACTTTTTTTAGAGATAAACCAAGAATTATCAAACTGAGAATAAGGATTATCAAAATGATAACTAACATTTTGTCAATCTGGGTTAAGATGATTATCTCTTCATTTAATTGTTCTATTTTTAAACCACTAATCGTGTAATCATACAGAGACCTAACTCCCTCCATGGTAATAGTATTTCCCATTTTTTAACATGGGACAGAACTCTCTCTCTTTTTTAAAACTAATTTCCCCCTTTAAGAATTTCCAATTGTCTCCCCAAATCTGATGATGACGGTGAAGCGTGAGGCTGGCTGCTGCTGTCGAGCATGTCTGAGTGGAGAACACAGGCTTCACTGAGGACAGCTGCAGCTGCTAGCATGTAGCTGTGAGCTAAGTGTGTGGTGGTTACAAGAACAGTAGAAGCCCAAGTGGGTGTCAAGGTGGCTACCTAGTATGGCAGCAGCCCAAAGGGGAGGTTCTGAGGAAGCCCGAAACCCACAGGGAGGGGGAGCAAGCTGTCTGAAAAATGCACACGGGAGCATGTGAAGTGGTGGGAGCTCCCTGAAGGCAGAGCTGGTGGGTGGTGAGGGGCTAACTCCAGTGGCATTCAGAACCCAAGTGCCTGTGGAGATTGCTGCAGAGAGGCTGCAACAGAAAACTCCCAGACTCACTTGGAGGGCTTGGGGAAGAAAGGGAAAGCCTGGCCAGTGGGAAGGTGACTCCGGTGGACGCAGCTCTCGTGTGCAGCTTCAGTGTGTGCTGGTGGCTGCAAAGCCACTGGCAAGTGACTGTTTTATGACCCAAAAGTTGGACGCCAGATGATGTGCTAATCTAATTAATCTTTATCAATAAAAATCAGGAGTCAGATATGGGGTAAAACCCTGAAAGAAGCAGGGGAGCAGCTGCCAGTTGCTTCCTACCTCCACCGTTCTTCCTCTATTCCAAAAGGCCTAGATCCCCTCTCTGCCCCACCTTATCACTTCCTGTCTCCTCTCTGTACAGACCTCCAGACCTCTGTGGTTAAGTAGTGGCTAGCTCCATCCTCTGACTCCAAGCCAAGGTGTATCTGTCAGAACACAAACAGTATCACATGGCATGCTTTCATGTCTGGCTGTTGTGAACAGGACCATGGGTGGTCAGCTCTGTGTCTGGTGTGCCATGAACGGTGTAACTGTGTCCTGTGGTGGCTCTGTTTGCTTTTCTGAGGAACTCTGTGCTGACTGCTGTAGTAGCTCACCTGCTGATGTGCCCATTCCCACACTGTTGTTGTTTCCTTTGTTTCAGGTTAAAGGAGCAGGAAGTTCGAAGACTGATGCGTGCCCGGGGTGATGGACCCTGGTTTCAATTTCCGACCCCTGAGAAGGAATTCATTGATCATTCTCCAAAAGCAACTCCTGACAACTGACAATTCATTTGTCTAAGAACAGTGTGTTCTCTCTAGTGGAAAGAAATGAATAAATATTCTGTATTTTTAATCTGATGCACACAAGCTTTCATAGCTGTTTGTTCATTTGGTTCAGGTGACGTATTCCACGTGGGCTTTTCAGCTCCATCTGGTGAGATTTACCAGAACTAGAGGTCTGGGAATTTGTGAATCCCTACAATGACAGTGTTGATAGGCTGCTGAGTTCTTTGTGTAGCAGGTGAAAGTGCAGCAGTCCTGTGAATATGCAGGAACTGTAGTCATCAATGTAGTCATCATTGCAGATGGGGTTATTCGGGACTACTTGGAATTTTAACTTTAAGAAATACTGAACCAATCATACAAAAAATGTTAGCACCACAATAAACAAATTTTAGTAAACTAGTCTTAAAGTTTATGATATGACATCTTGCTTTATTTTGGGGGTGCATGTCTTGCTTTTTAAAACTACAAACAGACACACATGCACACTTGAGACACATTCGCTAAACTTCCTTAGAGTGCTGTTTTATTAACACTGGGAAGTAGGGATATAAAGCACAGGTGCTTCCTAAGGCTGGTGTGCCTTTTTACGGGGGCTGGTGGTGGTGTTCAGTAAGCTAAACACACACTCACCTCTGAGCCATGTCTTCAGTCTCCAGCTGAAGTGTGCTTTTACTTTCAGTCCTTTTAGAAGGCTGATGTAGGGCTGAGGATTTGGAAAATGGCAGAGTGCTGTCCCAGCACGCATGAAGCCCTGGGTTTGGTCTCCAGTACTGCATGAAGTATGAGTGAAAGCTGACTCATGGCTGTGGCTATGGCTATCAAGCCTTGACTGACGGCACCAGTGTCTCTTTCCAAAATCGCCATATCAAGTCGTCTTCTGTTTTACAGATGAGGATTGGAGACTTGACATGTTCAGCCTTCATTCTTTCTTTCCAGTGCTTTTGTCTTTAAAGTAGGACAGGCTTTCTTTGCGTGTGTTTTCATTCTTCATGACAGTGGTGTGAACTCACACTGGAGATTCCAGCCAGCGGTTTTTCAGGTGCTGTTCTTGGCCAAATAGGAAGGTGTCTTTTACTACCCACTTGTCTTGCTACCTGCATCCACCAAGGTCTCTGGAGTGCTTGCAGTTCCTTGTTTCCCCAGAAGGGGGTGGCCACACCCCATGACCCCAAGTTTTGTTGTGAGGATTCCCTGTATACATCTCACAATTCTGCCTACTGGCTGAGAGAAGAACACAGGGTCTCCAGGCCCCTGTTTATGCAAACAGTTTGTAGGAGAAATAGAAGAAGTAGGCCCTGGATGTTTTGGATCAAGAGGCATCATTCATCTTTATGGCTATCATTTTAATTTTTTTCCATCACAGGCAATTTATTTTGTTCTATTCATTCACAGTTAATA